ATTTTGAAAATTTTTTGAAAATTGCCTGAAGATGACTGAAAATCACAGCTTTAACCACGTATAGAACACACTTTGCCTTATTGAATGCATACAAAGGCGACTGTTTCACTTGATTAGTTCCTGAATAAATAAATGCCAAACTCCGGCCTGAACAAACAATATCATGAACCAAACGCAATTTTGAAAAATTGTGAAAAATTCCATTCCTGATGACTGAAAATCGAAACTGTGCGCTTCTAAAAAGCGTGTTTCGGTATTAAATGCATTAAAAACTGATTTTCTGTCTTAGCAAGTGATGGAGAAGTGAATGCTAAAGTTCGTCCTACAAAACCCACCACAAAAACGAGACGCGATTTTAACATTGACTAAAAATCAAAACTTTTTCCACTTCTGAAACAGAGTTTTTCCTATAAAACGCATACAAATGAGACAGTTTTCTTTCGTTAGTTCCTGGATAAACAAATGCCGAACTCTAGCCTGCAAAAGCAAACGCACTTTTGAAAAATTATCAAAAATTGCCTGATGATGAATGAAAATCAAAACTTTGGCCTACAAAATACATACAAAAGCGGCTATTTTAGAAGAACCAAAACTAACTCAAAATACTTACAAAATGTGACTCAGAAAAAATCGAGCAAAAACAAAATATTGATTTGCTTAGTAGTGGCTTAAATGAGTGAAAAGTGGGGAAAAATAGAATTTCCCTAGGAAACACCACTAGGAAAAGTCGTCAGTAAAAAAATCCCTACAGGACAACTAGAAAATCACCAGAATTTTAAATAACCCTTCCTCATCTTTTAGGAGCGTGTTATGCGGAATTTGGGGTGCGAGTACCCCATACCACAGGCTCCGCCTACATGTACTCATACGTGACAGTGGGGGAGTTTGTGGCCTTCATCATTGGCTGGAACATGATCCTCGAGTACCTGATTGGTACCAGCGCATGCGCATGTGCGCTCAGCGCCTGCTTTGACGCGCTGGCCAATGGGGCCATCGGCAAGGCTTTGCACACTCGATTCGGGGACTTTATCGGTAAACCCTCAAAAAACAACAAAATCCGGATTTAATTTGCCCCTGGCTTCAGGTGGAGACCCCGACTACATGGCCTTCTTGATCACGCTGCTGATGACGCTGGTGCTTGCCGCCGGGGTCAAAAAGTCGCTGATCTTCAACAATATTCTAAATGTGATCAACTTTTCCGTGTGGGTGTTCATCATGAGTGCGGGAATGTTTTACGTTAACACCGATAACTGGACCAAACATGACGGTTTCCTAGCGAAAGGCTGGCCAGGGGTAAGAGTTATGGTTTTTTTCTTCAAAACTCTTCAGCAGCTCGGTTTTTTACGGCAGGTTTTTACCGGGGCGGCCACATGCTTCTACGCATTCATCGGTTTCGATATCATCGCCACCACCGGCGAAGAGGCGGCCACCCCAAAGAAGTCCATCCCATTGGCCATCATTTCCAGCTTGGGGATCATCCTCACGGCTTATGTCACCAGCTCGATGATGCTCACCTTAATCGGTAAGTAACAATTGGATTGAGCGAAGCCCTTAATCAGCTTGGTAAATTGCACATTTATAATTGCATAATCCTCGCAGCAGAATGCGGCGATGTGGATAAACGCGTCGCTTTTCATCAGCATGCCGTGAAAAAAAGGGCAAAAGTTCGAATTTGATCCATATTCCTGGCTGGTTAATCAATATCGAACTCGGCTCTGTTCCGGCTTCTCTCTGGAAACGTGCCGAGTGCGGATTTCCCTTATTTGTTAGCGAAAAACGCCACTTTTGTCGTCGGTCACGTCATTAGTATTATTGCGATTTGCGACACCTACTCACTTTAAAATTGAGAGTTTTTCTCTTGTAAAATTTTCATTTTACTTTATAAAACTGCTTCACTGACACTGTCAACCACTTCCAATTCACATCCATGACTTGTCGGAAAATGCTGCAAAATTTCATCTTCCAGAAGAAGAGGACTTCCTGCTTCAATCACTGAAAACCTCACTTCAACTGCAAACATTTTGTCTCTTGCATCTGGTGGTTTCTGGTGCTTACCTTGTTTCGTGTTCTTCACACCTTCCTTCTTGTGCAACTCGACCGGCCCACAGACTACACACTAAGCAAGAGATCTGGGGGTGCCATAATAAGTTATCATTAAAGCGCGGAATATATGCAGTTAAATTCAATCAAAATATGCGCATATATATGCATAATTTTTATTCCAAATATGCAATTATATGCATTT